AAACATCATGAGCATCAATGGCTTGGAGGGATGCTTGATCCTAGCCTTTTAACCATATCATTAGCTATAATAGATGTGTGGTTGAGAATCACAACTTTTATCCCCATATGTGCAAGAATAATTCTAAATTTTCCATTTTCTTGATGTTAGAAATCAATAAAATTCTCATCACATAAAAACTCATACTTCTTATATAATTGTGAGAGGCAAAATTAAGAGAGGGGCATGCCTTCCTTTTCTTCTCACAATAGAAATCAATTTTGAATCTGAATGGAAGGAGCTTTCTCTCACTATACCTTATCACCTTCACACACTTGGCATGTTATAAGACACTTGGTGTTATATGGCACACTTGGTGTTATATTCTCACACATTTATCAATAAGAGATAAACAACTTCGAAGCAACTTTTAGTTCTAAGTGCTAATAGGTTAGTACTCCTTAAATAAAGGAAAATATCAAAGGAATATCAAGGGCAACACAGGTGAGAGATGACACACATGTGAACCAAAGGAACAAATTGATAAATACCAAACAACCCCCATATGGAGGCACACCACCCTATTGTGGCTGATGTCAGCCACCTGGCCGATGTGGTTCTGACATCAGCTGCAATGTGGACATGAGCCGTGTGGCCCATTGGCCATTTGGGCCCCATGGCTTGTTGTCCTTGCGTGGAATTAATGAATCCTTTTCATATAAATTCCACTTTTTCATATAAAGAGTATTTTGACCCAGAAAAGGTCTAGAAATATTTTAAAACCTCCAAAAATCATTTTTAGTAATTCTTAGCTGTTCTCGCTAGTTCTTAGGCAATGAAAATTTCTTTATAGGGAAATTAGGGCCCTTATGGAAACATTCTTGACTGATTGGGCACTCTACTCGGCTATATCGGGAACCGTAAGTCACTTTCTCGAGATTACTCCAACAAAACCCATGATCAACATTCCCTGGCGGGGGGCTCATGCTTGGCTTATCAAAGAAAGCCCAATAGATATAGGTCTCATTACAGGTGGACTCCCAAGGACTTGCACTCTTGGGATGTGGGGGAAAAAAACCTAGCCCAACTCTCTCTGGGCATAGGTTATTTGTAACAAATATAGGATACCGGATCACAAGTGGGTGCTCGACGAGATCTTCCGTAGCAAGGCCTCAGGAGCCTGGAAATCCTTCACCTCCTTGCTAACGCTCTTCAATCAATTTATCCGCTTCCATCCTAAATAAGGCACTAGAGTGCGATTTTGGTCAGACTTTTGGATTGGTCACTCTCCTCTTTGTGACCTCTTCCCCTCCCACTTTCATCTATCCTCCAACAAAGATTCAACCGTAGCAGCAGAAATTGTCCTTTCAAGGGCCGTAGAATTTGGAATCCCTCTTTCAAGAGAAACCTCACCGATAAGGAATCTACACTATTCATCTCTTTGGTGGCTGCCTTACACCCAATTTTCTTATCTCCTTCTGGGAGAGATACATTGGTATGGACTCTCTTTCCATCTAGTAAGTTCACAATAGCCTCTTTCTATCAAAAACTTATTCAACCCCACACCTACCCAATTAATCCTCCCTGTGCCATTTCCAAAGTGTGGTCCACTATTGCTCCGCCAAACGTCCAAACTTTTAATTGGATAGCCGGTTGTCATAGGGCTCTCACAGTTGACCAGCTTCAAAAAAAAGGCATTTCGCTTCCTAATAGATGTGCCATGTGCATGAATGAGGAGGAGTCAAACCCTCACCTATTCCTACACTGCTGTAAGGCCTTCGAGCTGTGGAGTCTTTTACTTCAATTGTTCCATTTTCAATGGGTCGTCCCTCCCTCTTTTAAGGTACTCATTTCCTCCTATTCAGGCTGCCATTGGTCTAAGGCCGGCAGGACTTTGTGGACGTTTGCTATCGCCGCTACCATATGGGTCATTTGGATTGAAAGAAACGAGAGGATCTTTAAAGGGCACAAAAACGAAGTACCTGTGCTTTTTCATAAGGTTACTTCCTTAGTGACGTTTTGGGCCTCTACTCACAGGGATTTCATAGGGATCCCCACTAATACCTTCCTCAGCCAGTGGGAGAATATCATCCATCTCCAACCTCACAAAAACCAAAGGCCCCACAATTGGCAACCCCCTCCTGAAAATGCCATTAAGCTGAACTTCGATGGCTGTTCCTTGGGCAACCCTGGCCCTTCAGGCGTTGGAGGGGTCTTTCGAGATCACAACCGGAATGTCCTACTTGCCTACTCGGAATATATGGGATTGGGGGACTCCAGTTCGCTGAAGCTTTCGCACTTCTTACAGGCCTCAAATGTTTTAACCCTTCTTGGGGGCATTTGTTGGTGGTCGAAGGAGATGCCCAAACCATCATCTCTTGGGCAGCACGCACTACTTCCCTGGCTTGGTGCCTTTCCAAGATTTTTGATGAAATTTACCATATATGCAGGGATATGAATGCCTTATGGATGCATACTTGGCGGACGTCGAATGAGCTCACCGATCTTCTTGCTAAAGACGGAGCACGGGCATGTGTAGAAGACCCCGACCGGTTTATCTCCTTTTTTGCTCTGGACCATAGAGGGTTTCCAAAACAGTAGTTAGCCTATCTCTCTTACTTGTACTCGGGCATGCTTATAAGCCCCATTTTTTGCTACACAAATTTTTTTGTAATGTGGCATGTGACTTGGCCAATTTTTTGTATAGGGTCTCTAGACCTAATTTTTTGACCAAGGTACCTGTCTCGTGGGTACTCTCGGTCCTCTCTCTCCTCTTACTGTTGTACTCCTTATAGCAATACAATGTTAACATTCAAAAAAAAAATTCTCATATACAGAAATATCTCGATCCTCATTAAGAAATTCTCATAACACGCAGAAATATGGCAATAAGAAGTATTCATGCCTTGGGTTAAATCAATCAGGAGGTGATCTCACCGACCCTGACCAAGGAACCCCAAAAGCCTTTTCGCTATAATGCCCATTAAACCGTACCTCATGATATTGGGTTTTGTGACTCTATAGAGATTTAACTCTAGATCCCAGTTTGCACAGATCCGACTGGTCATATATCCGTGATCACTTCCACTATGACAATGAACCACAGAAAATCTCAGTGTTAAGGCTTTGAAATGCCACAACCCCAACAAATCTGAAGGTGCTAGTCCTGTTTGGTATGTGTTTAGGCATGTGTGCTGGTTCTATCAGATCTTTTTGTGGATCAATGACTAGTCTAGTTGTTATTTCATGGACAATCTTTATTGCTTACCTTAAAGGGGGCCAAGTTTGTGAGCAATTTTTCGTTTGCTTTGAAGTACTTTTTGTTAAAAAAAAGCACTTTTTATTTGCTAGCTTGTCCAGCATAGCAAAAGCCAGCCTGCCTCGGTGCCTAAGTTGGCTTCCTTAAGGCAAGGTGGAACAAGTCTGCCTGCCTACAGTGACGCAGCCCACCTTAGGGGCTGCCTCAGCCTCCTTAGTCCAACTTCACCCGAGAGCAGAGAATGGCCTATGGTGAAGGTCAACATTGTTGTTTCGCCCCATTAAGATGAGGGGAAGAAGCCATTAGGTGTGTTCCAACCCACATGCCTCTCTAATCCTTTTTATGTGGTATAAACACATGATTAGACTTAGGTTTTTAATTGTTTAAGGTATTCTGTACTTATGAACTTGTGTTTGTGAACATGGAATCATCGTCAACTACAGGCAATGTACTTTTGGTATTTGAATTCCTGATGGTGTGTCACTACACGTGGATATTTATTCTTAGTTCTATGGATGGTCGTGTAATGTCAACCTTAACATTGTATCACCACACGCCAATACAACTCCCCCAATAGAAAGAGTGACATTTTTCAATGGAAAACTATATATATGGAATGACATTTTTCAACAGAAAACTATGTGTATACACACTAGCAATGCATTTTTATTGTCTTTTAAAAAGTCTGGAAATTGAATTCTCGAATACGAATATTATTCATGGCTTTGTTCCTGAACAAACTTGAGGTTAAAAAAATAGATGGCAAGGCACTGCCTCACGCCCTTTTATACATTGAGCATGTCCTTACGAAATAAATAGGTTTGAATGAACTGTATCAGAAAGTCTATTATACTCGCACACTAATCACATCATGGGTCTCACAGGCCTTGCTCTGCTAATCCATTTCCTGTCAAGCAGCGAAAATCTTAATGGTTGGCTCCAGCACAATCCTTGTGCTGCCTCCCTTCCGGTATGGAGAAAGAAAAGAGACACACGGCCCTTAAGAAGGGGATGCTATCCGTGCCAAAAGTACTTCCCCTTGTGGTGTTATCTAATGCATCTTAAGTCTCACTCACAAATTTCATGGACTGAGCTAGTAACCGGGAATGACCTTTTTGGGTGCCAGTGTCACTTGAGTATGTGTTGTGTGCAAAGATCTATTTCATTTGCTAGATAATATGATACTACGATCTTATCTATTTGGTAAATAAGAAATTATATATATTTGAGATTCACTAGTTTTACCAATATTGTTGGATAACTTGCTACAAGTTATTTGTTTCAAACATTATTTTCGATGTATTTGTTTAAATATAATCATGATATGTCAATTATGAAAAGCTTAAACCAATTCTATTTCAACCTATTCTACTTTCATCAAATTTTATATTGATGGCTTACCTAACTTCTTTTGTGATGATTAGTCAGTATTTTCGTGCATTATCACATCTTTATGCTAGTCTTTTGTATCAAATACATGTGACAATGTTTTATGTGAGCACTTATGTGACAATGTTTTATGTGAGCACTTAGTGTTAAGTGCAGATGCTATTTACACTTTGTATTGTAGTTCAAAAATGTTGTGTTTATCATTAATTTATTTTAATTTCCAGAACAAAGAATACAGTGTTCCATGCTTAAGTGGCATTTCCTTCTGTAGCATCATGTTTGTGAACTTGTTTTGTTACTTGTTAATATTAATGCTTTGAGATTGTGGGAATTTTTCATATTGTATCTGCCTAACTTAGTCTATCTTATACAGTTTTCTGGGGGGCAGCTGGGCGTTAAATTCAATCCATTCTCAAAGGTAGGATATGAATGACATTTCTATCTCCAATAGAATACAATTAAGGATTGCCCTAAAAAGCGTTTGCGGCTATCTTTCCTATTTTAATCAAATATCTAGTTGTTTTGCTCAACCAATCATTATATAGTCCAACCAATTTAATTTACTGTTCAACTGGATCCGTGGTACACAGATACCTCAAAATGGGTGTCTTAACCATGTCCAATATTTAGAAAACAAATCATAAAATAAAAAAAATTGATGTTGAAGCTTTGTTAGCAGCTATATCCAATGCATCATAGAGTGGAGTTCTTTAAGTAAATATTTTGAAGAAAATTACGTGAGCAGTGTGCATGGAAATGAAATTTGTGTAGACCTTCAATGTGGATACATCACTTTCTTCAGTTTCTTGTCAGAAGCTGATGTGAAATTGAAAATGCCATGTAATTTATTGATATGATGGAATGCTCCTTCTGATAGAACTTAGTTGAACTTTTCAAGATATTTTTAATCTCTGAATTTTCTTGATTATCAGTTGAAAGATTTTGATTGTATTGAGTTTATAATTTGTATTTATAGTGTTGAATTTTCTTGGTTTGGCAGTTCCCCCCATGCTATAAAGATATGAGTTTTTGGATCAACGATTCATTTACTGAGAATAATCTTTGTGAAGTTGTCAGAGGTATTGCTGGGGATCTTGTTGAGGAGGTAAGTGTGCATTGGTCATTTTAACGACCTTCTTGCATTGTGGATTGTTTATGTTTTAAATATAATAAGATGTCATCAAGCTGTTGGAAATGTTTTAGTCATGTTTGTTTACATTATCAACTTAACTACAATAAAATTACCCAAAAAAAAAACAGCAATAAAATCTACAACCAATAGAGAAAATGGATATTCTGACAATTAGATGATATGTGGGTTATGAATTAAAAGATGAGCATGATTAGGTCCTTATTCTGCAATTATTAGATAGCAAAATTTCTAAGGGGGCTTGTGTCTGTTGGACCAAGTCCCAATTGAGAGGGTTTTGGTCACAAATGGTGATCATGATTCGTGGTTGCATCTCATCTGCGGCATTTTTGGTATTGATCAATGTAAGTGCCAAGTTCTTTTCAATCTCAAGTGGGTTTTGCAAGGGTGACACACCCACCCCACGCTTCCCCCCCCCCTTCCCAAAAAAACAAAAGAAAAACGTATTTTGGTATTAAAGCTGAAATCTTTTCCCTAGTGTCTACAACCACGACCTTATTAATGGTTTCCATTCTTCAAGAAATAGTCCTATCTCTTATAGCGCACCGACGATCTGTTCGTAATTTGTGATGCTGTCCCTCAGCAAGTAGAGAACCTTTGGTTTTTGCGTTGTTTCAAAGTGACCTCAGCTTGAAAAGCAATATGAACAAGACCAAGCTCATGGGGTTTCGACCAATGTTCAAAAGTTCGGCCGCCTAGGAGGCCGTGCAGCCATAATGCCTAGACGGGGCTTAGGCAGGCATTCACCTAGGTGGCCAAGGCGCTGCTTAGGCTGTCTCGTCAAGGCGCACGCCTAGCCGGCACCTTGGAACACAATCAATTAATGGGGCAAAGACTATCACGATGCTGTTATTTATTTATTTGTTTGTTGTTCACATAAATTAATCTCCAAAGTGAAACAAGTTTTAATCAGTAATAAGTGCCAACAATGTTCAATAAGTCGGAGGCGGCCACCTAGGTGGTGGGGGGGCTGGGCTGCCTAGGTGCTAAGGCGGCCGCCTAGGTGAAAAGCCGGTGATTTTTTTTAACAAAATTTAGATCCCCCACACCTCCCTCTATTTTATGATATATAAAATTGTGTTTTATTATTTAATAAGTAAGTTTTGTATGTAATATAATGTTAAGATGCTGGAAGCACAGATCAAACCCAAACATTTACAACTTTAGACTAACTATAAGCATTAAGCAAATATTAAAGTAACTAATAAAATAATTATACTTTGTGAATCATTCATGAAAAAAACACATTGAACATACAATTATTAAACTAACTAAAAAAATAATAATCCAAATAGATAATAACATATCAAATATATATCACAAAGTATCAAAGAAAAAATACAAATAGAAAAAAATAACATCGTTAGACATTAAGGAAAAAAAAATACAAAACCTAATGAAAACTATTGAAATATATCAACCTTCTTGAAGTGGACTCGATTTTGGGCCAAACCGAAATGTTTGGGATCCCAAATCTCCTCTTGTAAGCATTGGGGTTGAATATCCTTTAATATCGTGACCATTTGAGGATTTAAAAAAAAATATCGATCTCTCAAAAAATCTTCAAATCTAGTTTTTTTCAATTTTCTCACTCTAAAGTTCACTAAATTTGTTTTTGGGGGCAAGAATGACCCCCCAAATCCTTATCCCCCCTTTTAACAGGGTAAAATGACTTGTTTTGCTCCCACCTGAAATTGTTTTTCCACCATATCCCTGCAGGCCGCCTAGGCGGGCGGCTTTTACCGCCTAATCGGCTACTTGATTGTCTAGGCCGGCGCCTAGTTTTGGTGCCTAATAGTAGCCGCCTTAAGAATGCCTAGGCGGTCGGGCAGCCAACTTTTTGAACATTGAGTGCCAGATATCAAACTTTAACTGCGGTTTATGGTTGAGTTGGGCAAGAGAGCAGAAACAAATAAATAGTTACACGTGTGCTGTAAAAAATACCATGACTTACATGTGTTGGGCAAGAGAACCATGAATAAGCAAATAAATACTTGCACATGTGTTGTTGTTTATTAAAATATTAGGATGGTACTGTAGCCTCTGAAGACATCGCCCCATGTAAAAATTTGTTTTTATGCGTGTAAGTTGTTGGACATAAATGGACATACAAGGCAGTTGTTTATAAAAACATTAATAAACAAATAAATACTTACATGTTTGCTGTCAAAAATGCTATGACTTACTCTTTTTGGGCAAGGAAACTATGACTTACACGTGCTGTCCATGACATGCATGAAGCTTTTGAGGAACGCGACTATTTGAGAGAGTGTAAGGACACGAGTGATGGGAGAGGATCGACGCTTAGGATAAGATTGCCTTTGATTAAAGTTTGTAAAACAAAAAGGAAGCATTTGAGGACTGGAGTGTGTGCTGTGTAACTTTTAAGCATGTGAGAGAGGGGGGGAGGGGCGGCCAGGGCCTTGCACCCGTTTCCTTGCTCCTGGGTGCCCACTTAGGTGACCAGGCCCCCAAACCTCGACCCCAAATTACTGTGGAGGGGCTGGCAATAAGCATAGGAAGTGTGTAGGCTCAATACAAAGTAACTGAGTTTGCCTCCCTGCATAGTTAAACTGAGGAGGCACCAATTGGTGGGAACAGTGGAGAAGTTCGAGTGAAGATAGGCATTTTGGAAAGGTCATTTATTTTTGCCTACGGGAGATTCAAGTTGATCAAAGCAACTCTATCCAATATCCCATTGTTTTAGATCCCTCTCTTTAGGATGCTGATGTCAATGGCTGCAACTAATGAGAAACTTCCTTTGGTTGGGGGCCGAAGGGCCGAAAATTTTTATCTTTTGTCTTATGAACTGGGAAACAGTTTGTAAGCCAAGGAAAGTGGGTGGACTAGGTATTAGGTTCCTTAAGGAGATGATGTGGCTTTTTGGAAAATGGTGGTGCTGCTCTGCCACTTAGGTTGATCATCTTTGGAAGACGGACATTCAGCATAGATGTGGTTGTGAGGAATCAGGTTGGTTGCGTAAACTTGCTAAAAATGCAGGAGCATGGGGAGCCTGAAAATGTGTCACGATGGTATTCATTCCTTCTTTATAGGGATTTGAATTCTTTGCTAAAGCTGGGAATGGAATTCGAAATCAATGGGTGGGAGATTGCAAGTTGGAAACTCAGTTCTCTAACCTGTTTGTGGTAGCTTCTGACAAAGTTTGTTGCATTTCAGTTGCATATGAGATTATTAGGTACCAATTAGTTTTGTCTTCAAGATTCTGTCGGGACCTAAATGATGTTAAAATGAGAGAGCTTGAAGACTTGCAGTTGCATCTCGATTCTTACTTCATCCTGAGGCAGGCTCATGGTAACGTGATGAGGAGCCAGCCAAATTAGGGTTCTTTGTTGTTACCTCATATGATCAGCTTCAACCTGGCAAATCCACTGCATCCATGGCCGCAAGGTATGGCGAGCCCCTATCCCCCCGAAGAATCGTCATTTGTGTGGCTTGTCATTTGTAAGGAGGTCCTTGCAGTGGATCATATCCTGTGAAGAGGGATGCACCTTCCTAACAGATGCATTATGCGCAAAACAATGTGGAATTAATGAACCACTTGTTCCTCCAGTGCAGCATTACCAACTAGCCTTTGTCCCTCCTCGTAAAAGTCCTTTTGATGTGGTGGAAGTGTGCCATGAATCCACCAAACAACTTTTCACTGCTTAAACTCTCCTGATGTCAGGTTCCCCCTTTAACAGCAAGACACACAGGGGTAAGGGTTTTGGACATAATTAGGACCATAGACCGCCTAACCTTAGGTCAGTCAACCAACACACGCACACCCATTGTAGTGCATAATTCACTATGCTTCTTTATTCACATGCTTTCGTGGCCTTTAAAGGCCACAAAAACCCAACGGCAAGGTATAGACTGAATTCAAATGTCTGACATATGAAGGAGGCCGAAGTTCCAGGCCTGTGGTTTTACTGAATCAAGTACTTTACTTAGCAGCACTCTATAAATTTATTATCACTGTGGTAGCTTATTTGTAGACCATGTCACATGTGTAAGTGCTAACATTGTTGCAGATTGTAAAATACATTTACCCATATCTTCAAGGGTGGTAATTGCCATCTTTTTTCTTTTTTTTTTTGGGTTGAAAGAGGCATATTTAGTTGTCGGATGTGCTGTTGAGGACAATCTTCTTTGTAGATTTTGACATTTTGTTCATATGAGTATGAGGTTTATGTTAATTTTTTATTCTTGAACCCTAGCATCCTCACATGAGATCAGTTGGGGAAAGCCGCAGTTTTAAAAGGTTAGTAGTACGTCATGTTCTCAAACTCTTCCCCATACTGAATCTCAAACTGATTCTTGCCTCTGTCTCCAATTTTTTAGGTGAGACTTTGTCCAGGCTTACCGAGTGAATTAGGTTCTGGACCATGATAGTCCTGAGCCAAATCAGCTATTTTGAACAAGGTTCAAAAACAGGGAGGCGGCTGCCTAGACACAAGGGCGGCCTTCGTTGACTTTTTTTTAATGTTGGACCCCTCACACCATCCCCCAATTTATTGAATATAAAATTGTCATTTTTTTTATTTAATATTTAAGTTTTATATAAAATATATTGTCAAGAAGTCGGAATTATTTAATAAGCATTAAGCAATTGTTAAACTAACTAATAAAAACAATTATGGGGAGTAAAGTTATGGTTTATGAATCATACAAATAAATTCACGTATAAAACTAAAAAAAAAGAGTATAAAAACAATATTCATTCGATTTAGGGGCAATGGATTTTTTTATTGAATTGTTTTCCCAAAGACCCAAACTACATGTCAAAATGGGAAAATATTAATCCAAATAGTTAATAACCTACTAAATATGTATCACAAAAAAAAATACAAATAGCAAAGAATAACATCATTAGACATTATGAAAAAAAAATACATAACCTATTAAAAACTAGTGAAATATTCCAACCTTCTTGAAGTGGAATCGATATTGGGCCAACCGAAATGTTTGAGTTCCCAAATCTCCTCTTTTACAACCACTATAAGCCTAAAAAAGATTGGGGATGAATATCCTTTAATTTCGTGACTATTTGAAGAGGTTGAAAAAATTTCGATCTCTCTACTTGTCTTCAAATCTTGTTTTTTTCAAATTGTTTCACTCTAAACTTCACTAAAAATGTTTTTGGGGGCAAGAATGGCCCCCAAAACCTCTTTCCCCCCTTTTTAAGGGGTAAAATAACAATTTTAGACATTGGCTGAGTGCCATTTTCCGCCATCAGGCCAGGCGGGCGAGGCGGCGCTCGCCGGTTACGCTACCTAGGCGAGCGCCTTGGGCGTCTTGGCAGACGCCTAGATGGACCTGCCTAGAACGTGCTGCCTTGCCCACGACTAGGCGGTTTTTGAGATGACTGCCTAGCATCAAGGCGGCCGAATTTTCATTCATTGCTTTTGAATATTCAATTTTACATCTTAAAGGGATAAATATTTTGTTGAGAAGAAAGGAATGATGGTGCTTTATTTTATATTGTCCAATGGCATTATGTGACCTCTAAGATGGTATAAAAGGCTGTTATATGAGGCCATATAGAGCTCATAGTTGTGCCATATCTTGATCATCTGATGAGTGACGGTTTCATGGCCAAGTTTGAAGCTATATTGGGATCCTATTAGGCTTTATGATTTGGAGTGAGAAGTTCCTTTTGATATGGATATGATTTGTGATGATATGTATTATACTATTGCGACGTGCACTCTCCAATGCTTGTTTGCCTTCTTTTGCGTTTCTTACACAGCACACCATACATTGAAGGAGGCCATCTTAAAAAAAAGATTTTGTTGAATGAAAGAAGTATTTGTATGAGAACAACGAACTATATATACATGATTGCAATTGTCTAAAATTCAATTCGAGTATTTAGTAAACCTATAGAAGGCTGAGTCCATATCCAAATGGTTTTCTAGTTGATGGATGCCTCCTGAACCTATTATTAAATAAAGGAGTTAACGTAGCCAATGTTTTTCTATATATTAATTGTTTGCTAGAATCTGATTCTGTCTATTGATTGTTAATTTTGATTGCAACCATAATACTGCTCATGAAAAGAAAAACATTGTATAAATATGACATTCGTGATGCGTTGACCATAAGGTCAAGTTCTTGCTCCAAAAGGCACTATGTTGGAGTGGGCTTTAAGGAACTTCAGATAGTGGGCTCGGACCTGTAATGTACCTTTCTTGCAGAAATCTCATTTCTGGGATTGATACCCGAACTCACCATTGAAAATTGAGGATACAAGATGGTTGCAGATCTATATATATATATATATATATATATATATAA